GTGTTCATTTTCTGGAGATGTCCCAACCGAGACACATAACTCAGGAGCGTTTAGTTAAGGATCCAGTTGAATGATTTCTGAGCTCTGTTTGCATTAGCGCATCTGACAACAGACTTGGTTGTGCCATTCAGGAAGTCAGACTGGAGGAGGACATGTATAGATGGGTGCTAATGGACACTCTCGACCGTGTCTACTTGTTAAACCAGACCTCAGGTCAGAAAGGCAACAGTGGTAAAATAAGCAACAACACTGAGATGATTTCACAGGTGAAAAAACCCAACAAAAGAACCCCAAACCTAAAAAAAAATCTCCCCCCATTCAAAAGCTTCTAAAGTAAGCAATATATTTGCATTTGTTCAAATATAATTTACTCTGAAGGAGATTTATTATCATTAGGCAATAAGTGACAATGTGGTATGCCAGTGAACACCAGCATTATTCAAGGACTGAATATATTGACACCATCAGGAAGTTCTTCCAAGACTGAAGGAAAGCACCAGCTGCCATGTCTATATTTATCTTGGCAGGTCTGTGGGCTCTAGCCTGACAGCTACCATGTAGTGATATTTGTAAAGTGAGGGAACACCCACTTTAGAACATGTTATGAAGTTTCTTCATCCTATTATTTTCAAATATAAAATCGCCAGACATCAAGAGTGACGTGAAACATGAGTAGCACCAAGACCTAAGCCTGGAAAAGTAACAGAAGAAAAAGGAGGTCTGATGAATCCTTTTGTTTGATGTAGTGATGTCTTCTTCCAGCAAGGGAGATTTGTTGTGTAAACATAGATTTATATACATTTGGTCTGCACAAAGAGGTAGAGGACTTGTAAATTAGTTGTTGTGTCTCCACTGCTGCACTATCTTAAAATAGGTGGCTGGTATGTGATCTTGGGATCTCTTCCCATTTTAGGGAGTTGGGGATGTTACTGATACACTGGCAGAAAGTTGGTTCTAAAACTGTCCAACAGAAGAAAAGCAACTCTTTTAAAAGTGTAAAATGTTTTCAGAACAACGTGGGTCCTTCCTTGTGGCTTTGAGAAATGTGACAGAGCTGCAAACAGTGATATAAGTCGTAGAAGTTGAATTAGAGCAGTTTATATAAAGCGACGTAGAACTTGCATGTTATTTAGGCATAACTAGTAAGGTTACATACACAGGTAGGACAGAAAAGCAACTCTTCTAAAACAAAAACAGAACAGCATTTTCTTTTGCCTCAGGCAAAAAAAAAATGCAGTAACTACATTATTCAGGTCATCTTTATTCTCTTACAACACAAACAGAAGCCTACAGAGGTGGACAAATATGTATTTGCCTTCTTGAGGTACTAATACAAATAGTGGCAGCTGCATTGTTGACAGTTTCTTCAGAGGAACTGGGGATTCTCTTCTCCCCAACACCAGTTATAAAATTTGTTTCGTGGAACTATGTCTATTTATTCCAGCACAGCAAATGGAAAAACAATCTTTTACATGTGAAATAATGATGCTCAGTATGAAACACTGGGAATGTTTCAAGCTGCTGAGGCACTTGTAGTTCAGCTGAGTGGCCATTCATGAGCACAGAAATAAGTGGCGATCTAGACATCAATTCCAACATAATTTACCTCTCACAGTGCCAAGTCCTTAATTCTTGTCTTGGATACTTTTGGCTAAAGAACTCTTCTGCTACCATGAGAATAAAGTTTAGCATTGGAGATGGCCCTCATCTAGCCACCTGAAGATATTGACATTTGTGCATCAGATCCCCAAAGTTATTATCAGTGGACTTCAGAACCTCCTGGACTGTTTATGCCCTGATGTGTTGTCCCTCCAACAGATACCGGGGTGGTTGAAGGCCCCTTTGAAGTCCAGGCCCTGTGAACATGAGACTGCTCCTATATGTCTGCAGAGCGTCTCATCCACTTGTTCTTCCTGGTCAGATGGCCTATAGCAGACAACCAGTCCAATGCCCCCTTTGCCCATCCTGTTTTTAATCCTAACACAGAAACTCTCCATCAGTTCCTCATCCATCCCCAGGCAGAGCTCCAAACACACCAACTGCTCTCTTACATAAAGGGCAACTCCTCCTCCTCATCTTCCTATTCTGTCCTCCTTAAAGCGTCTATCCTTCTAACGCAACACGCCACTCATGGGTGCCTCCACAATCCCACGAGCCCTGCAACTGCACACAGATCTCTAACTCTTCATGTTTATTCCCCATACCGTGTGTATTAGTTCACAAGCACTTTAGAGATGCACCCCAGCATGTTGGGCTGCTGGAGACAGTTTGAGGTATTTGTCCACAATGATGCCTTGTAGGCAGATTGCTGCCAAGACACAAGTGTTAGAGGTGACCCAGTCCAGGCCCCGTTTTGATAACTTTGTGAACCCTTTCTGCCACACTGCCCCATGCTCTTTAGTCAGCAGTTATTGCTCCCTCACAGGACTGCTGGTTGCCCTGTCCGTTTCCCATCATTCCTAGTTTAAAGCCCTCCTTATGAGGTCACACATCCTATTGGTGAAAATAGCTTTTCCCTGCCCAGTGAGGTGAATCCCATCTCTCCCAAATTCAGATGCTGACCTTCAAACAGGGTCCCATGGTTATAGAACCCAAACCCATGTTGCCAACACCAATTCCACAGTCACTTAATGATTCCTCCTATGAGTCCCCTCCTCCTCACACCCTTTCCCCTCACCATCACCCTATGTAATGAAGCTGCATAGGGATAACTTTTGCCAAGAGCTCCTGTACGATTGTATTGAAAAGACTCTTTTTCTGTTGATTCAGAGGTAACTGAAGCCACCAGCTTGTTCTGGGTTCGAGGGCTTGGATTCACTGATATGGTAATGCTCGGTTAAACGTTCATATCAAAGAGATGCCATGTCTAGGAACACATGCATGGAGTTTATTTGCAGAACAAAAAATATAACAAATATGCAGCCCCAAGTCTGCATTTCCCCTCATCTGTTTCCCCCTTGCATGACGGAAATTGCTCTCTACCCTAGGAAGGATTATGGATGTATTCATTAAGGAACTGGCCCACACGCTAGCAAAACTACTTTTAGGTTTTTTTGTAAGAAATATGCATTACTCTGCCTGTGCCATGCACAGACCAAACAAGCTCTTCCCATTAATTCTCCCCAGCTCAGGTGAACCAAAGAGTAGTTTGCTCTACAGCCCTGGGAACATTTTGCGAAGTGGTACTCCTCACACTCCCTGGATATGTATTTTTCCTCTGTTTGCTAAATAAGCACACACAGAGTTTTAATTTCATGCAAGTGAAATGTATAAAATATATAAAGCAAGTGCCAAGAGAATTGTCTTTTATCATTATTGCTTCTGAATTTTCACTGTGGGGGTTTCAACTCCATTTACCTCCTGATTCTTAATCTCACTTTCTTCTGGGTAATATGAATGTCAAAAGATAAACAGTGGGACCTTTCAGCGATTGGCTGGGAAGATACCTTGACCAGCTGCCAGGCTGAAAAGATACTCCTAAAGATACCATTAAAAATCAGCTGCAGTGAAACAGAAAGAAGAAAGAATGTGTCAGATATAAAAGCAACAAAATCCTTAGGCTGGCTCAAAGACAAAATGTCTTACTTAATTTACCCATTTCTCCCAGGCAAGTTAATATTAGGGTTGCTTCTATTCATGGGCAACATCTTAATAAATATTGCCTTAAGAAAAGGAGTTACAAGGATCCTGAAGCTAGCTGATGTATGTTGTCATGGCCCTCAAGGCATTAGCATCTGATGTGCTTTTAGGAGATGAATCAGGCTCCAAAGTTATCCATGTACAAAATTGAGCTTCCAAACAAGCATAAATAAATAAATAAGGCAAAAAGTAACCAAAACAAAAGTAAAAAATTTGTATTAGATATCATCTTGATTTTTTTCTGCACCTGTGAACCTCAATAGTGTTTCCCATCGGGATGTATGTAGCTCACTTTAGTGTGAAATGAGATATCTTATGCTACGGGAAACTTGTAAAGGTACAAGGTTGGCAAAGAAATCTAGAGTGATTAATAAACCACAGGGAAGAGTTTCTTCTTTTATGATCTACATATCGCTGTCTTAAGACTTAATCCGGCTCCTAGGAGCTCTAGTGAGAACTCCAGCTGCGCGCTGAAGGTTAGAAATATCTCCACAAATCTTGCTTCTCTGGAGTTTAGGTCCCTCAGCGTGGCTTTAGGATGGTTAGCTCTCAAATTTGGAAGTAGACAGTTGCTTCTGAAGCACTGCACAGTATTATCATACATACACATGACGAGACATACAGAAAAGAATGTCTAATTGTTCTTAGCTGAATCAGAAGAAAGCAGTGATGAAGACAAGGATCAGAGGAAATTTAAAAAGGAGCAGATCTACTCTGACTTATCCATCTATTCACAAAAAGTGGTGGCTGTCAGTAATGAGCTTCTCTGAAAGATAATCCTAGGGGTTACTCTTATCTGTTTTCTCCACCACACTCCTAGCCACTGGTCACTGGAGAGCTAGAGGAGGTCAACTAATAGGCAGAAGCTTCAGACTATGCATGTGAGCACATCATAATGTTAGGCTACTGTAAATTTAATCAGACACACCCTGAAATGTGGAAAGAAAATTCCATTTAGGAGAAGTAAACTGCTTAATTTTCTCCACTAACATCAATAATCATAACAATAATTGCTTCTACTATTGTTTTTTAATTACAGTTCCAGGTAGAAAGGAAGAATTGGATCCCTTTCCAGTTAATGTTTTATATTCTCCAACTTCCTTTTTACAGTCAAAAGGGAATGGATTAATCTGCCAGTGAACTCTATTTTATGCTAAATATACCAGATAACTATCCTTAAACCCTATTGAACCAGGCAGCTTGTCAGATCAAAACATCACTGGATGTACAAAATGCCCAAAACACTGGAAAAACAATCACAGCATCAACAAACAGCTGCTCATGAGGGACACATCACATCAACAATCACATCGGAATGGTGCAGGAGGGTTATAAAGCCCATACTTTAATGTGATACCTACCTATTGTGTCTCCTTGCTCATGCACCATGGAGGCCAGGTCTTTAATGATCTGGTTGACATCCAACATGTCACTCTGAAAAGACAGAAAGTCTAACATTAATGATGAATGGGTAATAGCATGTTTCACAGTCAAGCTTTGCAAAGAAATAAACAAAACCAGAAGAGTTTGTCTGTATAGAGTTAAAAGAAAAATGTAAAGCTCCCATAGTAAATCAAAAATGCCCTTGTAAGCCATGGTTTGCTGGATCTAAGTCAGCCAGTTGACTCAAGCTTTCTATAAAAAACAAGTAGAATGATCAGATTATATGGTTGCTTTTCAGAATTGCAGAGGACTAAGAGAGAGAAAACAACAATAAAAACAACAGCAGCAAACCTTTCTCTTCCTAAAGTTATTGTTGATGCAGGCCATTCATCCTAGAGTGTGGATTCTTATGTAGGAAAAGGTGATCTTTCAGCATAGCATCCATCTGATGAAATACTATTTGTAGGCTGATGAAGATATGATCAAAAACTCACTGAATTTGAAATCTATCTATTGGTAAGGCAATAAGGAAATACCCGTTTGAGGAATAGATTAATTTATATGTTTTCACGTATAAAAAAAAAATGAAGTAACTGGATTCAGCACTGAAATTTTCAGTTAAAGCACAAACAAATTGACAGTGGGTTTGCTTCCCCTCATTTCTGAAGATTTACCTTACACAAGAGTAAAAGTGAGGATATGTTGACTTCATAGGTCACTGACTCTTATAAAAATAATTAATCTACCAATAGAAATAATAATAGAGATACTGCTAAATGCACTACCAGTAAGGGAACATTAGCAGAGCAGAAAACAAGGCACTCAAACAGGATGCATTTTGTTAAGATGTACAAATCACAGAAACACTGAGGTTGGCAGGAACCTCTGGAAATCATTTACTCCAACACCTCTTCTCAGAGCAGTCAACTAAAGCAGGTTGCTTAGGTCCATGTCCATTTGTTTTTGTATATCTTCAAGGATGGACACTCCACAGACTGCCTAGCCAAGAGTATGGCCATGGTTTTTTACACTGGAGAACCCAGTACTAGATGCTCTCTAAAGCACTGAAAACATTTTCTAAGAATCTGCTTCTCCAGAGGCTAATTGCACACAAATTCATTTCTATGCTTGGGTCCTGTTGCAACTCTAGTCCATCATGCCAAATGATCCAAATGCTTCCACCCCACTTTCAAAGAACTCAGCTTCCCTGCTGGCAAATTTAGAAAGTGGTGCAAAATGAATCTACACCCTTCTACTAAAGTTTGTTATGAGAATGTAAGTGGCATAACATTTAATCATATAATGCAGTAGAACCACATCCATTTGCAATGAAGCCTGGAAGTCCCACTGTGAATTCTAGAATATACCAAGTTGTTGAATAACTGAAGAAGTAGGAGAAACAAAAGGTTTTAAAAGCTGTGAGGAATCATAATAAAACAAAAAACAAAACCCCCAATCAAAGACTTGGTAATACATCATAAAATGCACTTCATTCATTCACTTGTCAAGCATAATGAAGCTTTAATTATGTATGGTATTATTCATAACTTGTAAATACTGCAGAATATTTTGTAAAAGCAATGAAGTTTAAGTAACTTGAGATTGTACTTGAGCACTATGGTAGTAAATCATTGCCAGGAAATGAGGAATTAGATGTGAGGTTTTTGGGTGGGGGATTTTTTTGTTTTCTTTTGTGTGTGTGTGCTTTTTTTTTCCTAAAAGTCTTTGAAAGGATAAACCTAAAGTTTAATAAAATGTGAAGAATTGAGAATTAACTTTAATGTGTTCTTCTGCTCTCATTTAGCTGCTTAGTAAAAGATGATTAAGGAAAAATTAAACAAACAAATAATAATACTAAAAAAGCCCAGAATGCTCATTTGTCTCTCTTTGCTAAATTGCCACTGACATAACTCTTTCTTTTTTGTTACTTGCAATATAAACAAAGTTCTTTCTACCCTTTAGTCTGGTTTATTTTGTTCTGCTTCTTTTACAGTACTTTAAGTGAAGGCAGCTTAAAACTCATGAACATGTTTTTTCATGTACATTCGGTTAGATAGAATTTATTGCAATATATTGAATTATACATGCCCCACACACATCACCACGTATTTCCACTGTAAGAAAACAATTGTGCAATTTGGTCTAAGAAAGATCAGATGATCTATTGACTCCTCATAGGGTCCTCCTCAGCCAATTTAACCACAAGGAGTTGTCTGTCTGCCTCCTGATACCTAGATACTATGACGAGAAGGGAAGAATGAGAACGGAAATTCAATGCTGTATAGGAACAGTGCTGTTTCAGATTTGCCATTTATATTCAGGTACTTGGGATGAAGCAGCCATCTGCTGCTGCAGAGTATAGATCTTTTCCATAACATTGTAACAACACTTAAAATTATTGTTTAGCAAATATGCATTAGTTAAAGCCAGCCGCTGAGTTGTTAGGAAGGAAAAAACGCGACTGCTGTATTTAAGGAAAAGCAAACAGGGGTGAGTTGTAAAGCGCAGAGCACAAAGCAATCTGACCTGAAGCGAGGAATCTGTTGAATAATTTAACCTGACAATGTGAAGTTTCGAAGTTCCTGATATATGTAAGCAAAACAAAAGAAAAATAGAAGAAAGAAAAATAGCCAGACATAAAGACCTTCCATAATGGAATATGCCTAGGAGCTATGTTCCTGTTCTTTCTTGGCAGGTTAGCTCTATCATGAAGTACCTCTGAACTTGCCAGGCATCAGAGTTTGTTAGCAAAATCAGATTGCCTTTGGTTTCCCACATTTGCATACTATGTGGAATTCACAGTGAAATACAGCTCCACATAAATCCCTTTGACTCTACAGAAACTGGGAGTACAACAGCCAGCTATCGTTCCAAAAATGCTGTCTCCCTGCCAGCTTACTAGGCTGGGGTTTCTTGGGTTTTAATCAACACCAGCCTTTCCTGTCTGGCAACAATCCACTCATTGCATTCCACAGCAAGAGGGAGACAGATTTAAATCGTTTCAGCTAAATTTTTTTTTTTTGTACCAAAGGAGAAATCCATTGTTCAGAATAGTAGACAAGATATAACATCATCCATGCTGAAACAAAAAAGAATTAAACTAGTTAACAGTAAAATCAGAGATGGCAAAAAGAAATGGCAGTAGCTAAAGATGACCAAGAAAGCAGAGAAGTGTCAATAAACAAGTCATGCAGATGAGAAAAAAGGAAATATGAAAAGAGTTTGGGACCCTAAAGATCTGGAGGATTAAGTCTCACTAGGGAAAGTTAGTTTGGAAACTTCTTAGGGGAAAGTACTAGGTTAAAATGGCAGAACTATTTGATTCATTTAACCTGACTTCGTAAGTGAATAATGTCACTGCGAAGTACTGATATTTTGGAAAAAAAAATGAAATTCCAACATTGGCACAGAAACTGATGGAAATATGATTTTGCAGATAAACTAGAAATTTCCATTTCCCATTTTTTACTTTAACAAGATCACAATTTCAACATTTTTTAAATTAATCTGGGAGCAAGTAGTGTTGTAAAACCCAGACATTCCTACCAAGATGGGAACAACCTAATCATAAATCCCATCAGCACAACTCACCATAGAATGAACATTACTGACGTATTTGCCAAGACAGCAAATAAGTAAACCTATTCTCACTTCCACTCTCATGCTTAGTGGGGTGAAGATTTATCCACACTGAAAACTTCTAACATAGTCCTGACCTTAATGATATCCTAAGGACACTTCTGTATCCCAGCCAAGATAACAGTGTTAACTAAACCAGAGAGGGGAAACATGCTCTCCTCAAAATGACACAGAACAAGCACGTGCTGTCAATAAATTCTCTCATGTTTAGCCAGATCCCATCATCAATGTCAGCTCAGGTCCTCATGGGAAGAGTCATACTTATTTCTAAGAATGTTTGCCTTAGGTTTGTATAAAAAAAATAGGCTCAGAAGTATCGGTGGTGTATCCTATTTAGCACATGTGCTTTTTAGTGTGTTCACAAATCATCCATCCAATTTTTTAAAGGACTACAAATTAAAATCTAAATTAATTGCACGACCACATTCAGGAGCTGCTGAATTCTACATGTGAGGTCTCATTTTGCTCCACCATCCACCTTGCAACAAACAGCCAGGAGTGCTATAAAAGAAACCTGAAGGAGATTCTGAAAAATGTAATATAACATCTGTGTGTGTATTTCTGTATATGGAAGCACTCCAAAACAAAATATAGCAAAACAAAAACCTAGTGCTTGTTATCTTTGGGGAAAAGAAAAAAGGAAAAGAAAAAAAAACAAACAAAAAAACACACACCTTTATAATGTCTGACATGTTATACTAAAGAGATGGTTAGATACTCCTTGTGTGCTGTCCCATCTACATCACCACTGGGGCATCCTCTACCCTGTGGTCCATCATGTGTGAACCCCAGATCCAGAGCACACAGAAAGACTAATCAAAGAATCACGTTCATCTATCCCCATTCTCTTCTGCGAGATAGGGGAAGGAAGAGAAAGGGGGAAAAAATAACATAAAAAGTGAGCAAGCTGCTCTCATGCTAGATGGACAAAAACTAAATCTTGCTGCAACAGCCTTTCACAAATATTTTTCTCTTGTCTATGGCTGGGGAGAAAAAAAATGACATTCTATAAATCAAACTGATTCAGCCTAAGCAACAACAGACCAGCAGAAAATTGTTTTGAGGGCAGAAGCTATCCAGAACAGCAATTACAGACTGAGTTAGATCTCCTCTGGGACTGAGCAACAGCCAGCGTGGGGAGTTTCCCTCTCCCTCTCTATTCTGTTGTCTTAGTGGTCGGTGTCATCTCAGAAAGTGCAGCACTGCACTGCATAATTAAAATAGTTGTTCTGAGATTCAGCACGCTAATCCAGCATCTACCTGGGGACAGCAGGCTCAAGAAACACAATGCAAAGAGTGTTCCTGACCACCAAAAGGCAAATAGCAAGGCTCTGGAAGATTAGAAGCCTCAAGCTCATCAGGCAGAAGTGAAACCATTAAAGAGGGAACTTTCAACAGGGATGAATAAAGAG